CGTTTGTCGTAAAGACGGAGACGTAAAATAAATGTGATCGTCCACACGAATGCATGAAAACGCTGCAAAATGTATCCCAGGCCTATAAGTGGCGCTGTGGTGCCAAGGCAAAAATAGGCGATAAAATGTTGGGCATGCGCACTAAAATTTATACATGTCGCGCATGCGTGTTTAGAGGCGACGCTATGACGCATGCGTGTAAAAAAAAAATGTGGTTAGAGCTTAAAGATGGAAACGCGAAAACGGCGTTTCAAAATCTTCCCACTCTGAAGGCTGAATAAAAAAAAGATCGTTTACAGACCCCCGAAATGCCGGCTTCGTGTGGATGAGAGGCTGGTTTGGTGAAAAATTTGTGCGTTTAGGCCAGGGTTCGTCTTCGTGTGGACGGGGCCTAAGCAGCAGGGAGGTCCATCCTCCTAAGCACATTACTAGTCAGATGCAAATCAAATACCCAGCTCTTTTTTAATAGGTTGTTGAAGTGTTAAGTTATGCATGGGTTCTGTGATTGGCCTTTTAAAATCATGCTTATGTCATTGTTTTGGAATGACTCCAATGGCTGAATTGTAAATGTTTGGAAGCTGAAACCACAATCCTCACCCCTCTGTTCAGTGATGGCTTTTGTCTTTTCACAAAGATGGCTTCCTTCAGCCCTCTTTCAAACTATCTGTCCTCTCTGACCATAATCTGCAAATTTTGATCTTCAAATGTGTCTCCCTTGTTCTTGAGGAACAAGTGTACAGATGAATCTTGCCCAAAGTAACTTGCTATCCTATGCTGCTCCATGACGTTATGTAATTATTGTTTGATCTTGCTAGATTAAAAGGCTGTTAAATCCTGGCTACACTATATTGCATAAAAGTGCTACTCAGTTTAGGGTTGGATGTTCAGTTTTTGTTTGAATGTGTTTTTGGGTTTGAAATTCACCGGTATGTTGCGTTTTGTGAAAATCCATACATATGGAATTATAATTCTTGTTCTTACAATATTTTTTGGTCTCTCTGTTTTCTTCTCTGTGTTAGATGCAGAGGTTTTTCCTCCTGCTAGGTATAATTTTAATTAATAATGAATAATTGTTTTTACCCTCGATTTGAATGACTTATCAATTAGCTATAATTTTCAATATCTAGTAATCTTCTGGTAAGCACAGCACTCCTCTATAATTGAGGTAATATTTTGTCAGCCTAGTAACTCAGGGTTCTGATAACAGAATCTGTATGTTCTGGAATGCATTTGTAATTTAACCCTCTTTTATGGTTGCCATGACCGGATGACAGAGAATTTACACAAGCATGTCTTTTATAAAATGTTTTTTTTTCTTTCTTTTTTTTTCCATGCTTGCAGCTCTTTTAAAGCGTCCAGCTTTCTGGAATGCAAAACTAATAGCTGTGTTGTCAAAAGAATCTCCCACCTTTGCTTCATCTCTGCAGTTACTGCAGAGCTACTGTTGACATCGCAGCTGCTTCTAATTAACGTTCTTCTTGCCTGAATGGTGGTTCTGTTTTTTTTCCTTAATATTTCACTTTTCAGATGATGGATTAAAAAATACATAGTGATATTTTTGAAGCTTGGTTTATAGTTTTTTGTTTTAACCTTAGCCTGTTTAAGCTCTTCTGCTTTTATCCCCCATAGTGTTGTAGTCAAAACCACACCAACCAAGACCAAGGAGTACCGATAACCAAGACCAAGATCTTATATGGTTGATGTGGTAATAATTGCAACACTAACTGACTTATCAGCTGTGTTTCATGTTATGGTTGCACTATAGATCAAAAACATATCATTATCAGGATATTGGTGTGTGCAATTTTGATATGCAAAGGACTGCTCGCATTCAAGTGATTGTTTAGTAAAAAGTGTTGAATCAATTAATTACATGCTAATAATTAGCCAGTTGGAGAGAGTGTAAAGGCAACTGATGCTCTCATTGGATCAAAAAAGCCATTGCCTAAAATGCAGAAGAAGAACAGCTATGAAAGAGTGTAACAAATAAAGTAGGCATATACTGAGAGTGCAAATATATATTTACCAATATTATGTGGCACAATATTTTCTAATTAGTGCAGCCCTTGTGTTTAATAATGCAATAAGCAAACATCTGAATCCTTCACTAAACAAATGCATTTATAGAGATTAAATGGCATGCAGGTAGATGTATTTACTGATTTGATGATCTCTATAGTTTTGTTGGGGTATTTGAATGGTGTGAGATGTATAATGATCATATTTTATTTGGAGAAAAAAAAAAACACAAACACTGAATACTTAGTTACTTTACTCTAAAGTGTCTGCAGTTATTGCAATTGAATATAAGACCAAAATGTGTAGCTCATATACCAGAAAACTCCAATGCAGAAGATATATCCTCTGCTTTATTCAAGCAGATAACATACTGAAATCACTATAGATTATTAAAAGCTGTATATAAACCTCTGTCATTTTCTACCTGATCCCTCTGTGACCAATTAATCAGCATGAGAAGCACCGTCACTCTAGTTCAAAGAATTCAATATAACAACCTACAACTACCTGCCTCTCCTGTCCGAAAAATCATTTTTAATTGTCTCATTAAAAGCTGTAGCGGCTCAGTGTTGGGAAAACAATAACAGTGCTGTTTTTGCTTGAATGCAGCAGATCTTTAATGATTTCCACTTACCTGTGCAAAGCTGAGAGCCCAGATGTCCCTTTATAACAACAGCAACCCACTTGGTTTGTTAAAATCACTGCAAAAAAAAGAAAAAAAAAGTAGAAAACCACAGAAAAGTTAGGTCACTTTGAAGGAGTGAGCCGGTATCACACAGCAGTCAACAAAACAAAACATGGACCTCATTAAAAGTACTGTCATCAAAGATTAGAACTTTTTCTGTTATTGGCCGACTTACTAAATATTTTGGCTGTCAAGTATGCTTTTTCTTGGTTTAATACTACCATCAACTTTAGATGGAAAAATGTTTTATAAGAAGACAAGTTTGCCTTTATAGTTAAACAGCTTAACAAAATACTTCTGTCTCAACAATGACACTCCAGCTCCTTCTGAGGGGTTCCAAGGTGTTCCCAGATCATAATAGAAACAGATTTCCCTATTTATTCATAAGTCTACCCTTGGTTTCAACATAGAGGGAAACACCTTCAGAATGAGGTTTCTATGAGGTATCCTAACCAGATGCACAAACAAAATCAGCTGACGTTTTACTCAAGATGAGATGCATAATTCCAAAGTCTATCTGGATGAGGAAGCTTCCACCTCTAAAATTAAGTCCAGGAATCTCACAGATATATCCCCTGTTCGGCAAACAAAAGGAGGAAAAAGCCTCTTTAAAAAATCCCAGAGACTGGTTTTACTGGTTTAATTGGTATCACAACTTCATAAAAGTGCATTTGCACAACAACTCTGTTACTGTTATTTACTATAACATGTATTGTCTTCTTAGCTGGAAAATCAATAACAAAAAAAGTGACAAAAAATGCAATAAAAATTATTGTTAACAGAATGATTAGTTTTTAAAAATAACATTTCAAACCAACCTTAAATGAAAAACAAAATTATTATCAAAACCTCTATAGCGATGAATACAATAAAGTGATTAAGACATGTGTGAAACATATCTACTGTTAAGTATAGCAAGTATTTAGAGATAAGTAGTGTATTTTTTATATTTTATTTTATCTTATAATTGATCTGCATATTAATATTTGACTAGGACATAATTGTGGATAAACTCTAATTTAGCCTGTTTGTTTCTCTATAAATTACACTGACCATTTTACCAATACCATCTCTAAGAAATTCCTAAACCTCCTAAAAACTTCCCTTCCTAAGTTTTGGCTTAACATTTCAAAGCAGAGGAAGAAATGCATTTAAGTTGTTAAAGTTAACTATATTCGACATTTTGAGCAAGTTCGCCATTTGAAACAAAATGTAAAAATGTGATTTAAAATTCCTGTAAAAAAAACATTCGTTATCAGCCTGTTATGTACGGTAGAGGATTAGGGCCACTGGAATAGAAAAAAAAGTTAATTGATTTTTAAGTATTATTTCATTATAATATGAATTCTGACTTTTTTTCTCACAATTCTGACTTAAATCTCAGAATTTTGATTTTTTTTATCACAATTTTGACTTTTATCTCAGAATTGTAACTTTATTCTCAGAATTCTGACTGAATTCTGACAGCTAACAAACATGTTAGCATCAAGCCGTAGCCATGTATGTTTTAGAGACTAAATTAGCTCTCTTGTTTTAATCACCTTCTGCTCTTCCATTAATGCACGTAAAAAGTAGCCTAATTTAGTAATTTTCTACCAAAGTGTTACTGGCCCTCCCAAACAACTCACAACTTTTTCAGTGAAGCTGAGTGCTCCCACATACCTTCAGGGTGCCCATCTACATTAGGTTAAAAAAAAAAAATCAGAATTCTAAAGAAAAGTCAGTATTCTGAGAAAAAACCATGAATTCTGAGATTAAAGTCAGAATTTTGAGAAAAAAGTCAGAATTGTGAGATAAAGTCAGAATTTTGAGAAAAAAGTCAGAATTTTGAGAAAAAAGTCAGAATTTTGAGAAAAAAGTCAGAATTCTGAGAAAAAAAAAGTCAGAAGTCTGAGAAAAAAAACTTTGAATTCTTAGATTAAAGTCAGAATTCTGAGATTAAAATCAGAATTCTGAGACCAAAGCAAGAATTCAAAGATTAAAGTCAGAATTCTGGGATTAAAGTAAGAATTCTGAGAAAAAAGTCAGAATTCTGGGATTAAAGTCAGAATTCCGACTTTTTTCCCCATAATAAACTAAAATAATATTTAAGAATCAGTAAACTTTTTTTCCGATTTTTTTTTTTCCCCGTTGCTCTACTCCTCTTCCGTAGTTTCGTTATAAAGTCTGAAACAAAAACAAAAACATCTACAGTAGTTGTTTTTGATTTACATTTAATTTACATCAGCGCTTGCTGACCAGCATACGTAACGGGACGTGTCACTTCAATGATTGACATGGGAAGCGACCAATGAAATCCCTCCGTTGGTAACACGAAGAAAAAACTTCAGGAAGTAGCTTAAAGCAGCTATTACTGTTTAGATTTTGGCAAATGTTTCGGGTTTTAGGTGGGGATAAAAGACAACTCATACAGTTTTTCCTGTTCAGAAGAAATATGTCTACATTAGTGGATAAAAGTCGTACGACAGATGGTGAAAACAATGCGGACAACCGGTCGGTTCATTCAGATACCATCGAGGAGGTCCATAACGTTCCTCTTCAGGTCATCATCAGACCGTTTCCTCCGGAGCTGGACGAGCAGAAGGTCCAGAGTCTGATGGATACCATTAAGGTACCCTGCTCACTTTTACTGGGTAACATTTATACGGATAAATAAGCTATTTTTGGCTTGTAGGCCGAATTAGGAAGTCATTTTTAGCTGGAAGTTTCCAAATACCTTTCACATGTTTATATGTTTGCTTAGAAATTGCTGTGGAGAATCACTGAATTTTAACAAAAACGAACTGACTTTCTTCCAAAGCCCTCATCCCATTGCAAATGAAAATGTTATTTGATTAGTGGATTAAGTTTTGCACAAGTGATTTAAAGTCTTGCTGTTTTACAGCCACTCTTTATGATACATTTCATGCATATTTGCTAATTTTATATGCATATAGGCATATGTAAATCAAATATATTTTGTTAACTTTTTATAAATTAAAAATGAATCTGTCCAATCTTTCAGATGCACACACGTTCTACTCTGATAATAATCCTGACATTATATTTTGGAATAGTATATTTTTCTAAATACGTTCTTTGTTGCTGCCTTTCTGATTGTCTAGTATCAAGTCTTTAGTTTAGCTCCTTTTTGTGCAGCAATTTCACTAATAATTCTGTTATAAAAGATATTAAGATGGTTGAAACAGAAAAAAAAAACAGTTCTGTGATTAAAGACCATGCAAGTTATTTCACTTTAAAGGTTGTTTTTTGTAAGACTTGCATGTCTTGTGCTTGGATGCTATTGTTTGCACTAATTGATGTTTTGCCTTTCCTTCCAGGAGACGGCAGACATCAGCGTTGTTCCTCCCATTGATGTTCTCTGGATCAAAGGAAGAGAGGGAGGAAATTACTACTACTCCTTTGGAGGTTGTCACAGGTTTGCTGCCTATCAGAGGCTCAACATGCCAACCATCCCAGCCAAACTTATTAGATCAAACATCTCAGACCTCAGGACTTACTTGGGGGCTTCAACGCCTGATCTTCGATAATACTCTGGACTTTTTTCTCGCTTTTTCTCGCTACACCAGCAATGTCCAACTCAAGTCCTTTGTTGTCGCTGTCATACAAGTTTTAACACTGTTGATTCCTGTTGCAAAATCCTTTTTTCAGCATTCCTGCAGATTCTTAGTAACAAACCTCTTGTTTCTTTTTTTTTTTTTATTATGGGAAGACTGAAAAACAAGCTTTTATTTCAATCATCCCCTCTGGGCGCTGACCTTAAATTAAAACATCTTATAAAACAATCATGTTCCACAGCAAACATTTAAAATAAAACATAATAAAAGTTTGTAGCTGGTGGTATCACACCGAGCTGGTATATCAGTTATGAGGAGAAATCTAAGAACACAATGTGATGAACTGATGTCACTCTGAGCTATGGAAGCTCAAGGAGTGGATTCATGGAGAACAAATAAATATAAATTTTCCAAAAATTACATTTTCATAAACAAAATCTCAAATTAATTAATAAAATTGATTTATTGCGCAGCCTTGGCAGGACACCAGCTGACTTCTGACACTTAAATCTTATGATCATATGGACTGAAGGTAGTGATACAATGCAATACACATGATTTACCAGCAGGGGGAAATAAAGAGCTGGATGTGAACAGATATTTAACTTCTATTTGCTTGTAGTTTAATAATCAAAAGTTTCTTATCAAATTAGACCATTGAATTTCTGTTTAAAGACAATAAAAATAATTTAATTCTTTATATATTGTTTTTTTTTTTGTGTTTTTTTTACTTAGGGTGTTTTGGTAGTTGTGGTTTTCAAGGATTTTTTTAAAATCCAGTCTTCTTTTTATTTCATTAGACATAGATAAAGAATATATTTATAAACAGAATCATGATCAAGATATTTTTTATGTTAAAACAACTTTTCATACTAAATGTGTTGGGATTTTTTGTTAAATAATTTCTTATACTCTATGCTTAATATTTCTACTCTGGAATATAAAAGGGCTAATTGTTTTTCGATTCACTAAGAATATTTTTTTTTATACATTTGATATTTTCAGATGTTCTTCCTGTTTCTATTTTTTTTATTTAAATTTCTATGTTCAGTTAGCTTGGACTGGGATGTTCTCTAAAGCAGAGGAGATTATGCTTGTATTTCCTGTTAAAAGTACACCCAATTATCAATTCCTTCCAAATTCAATGAATATCAATGTAAAGTACTATGCACAGTTAAAATAACTGGTGTATAACAATCTATAGCACCCTCAGTTTCAATAAACATGAAGATGAAAGCCTTGTGCTTTGTGTCTGTTGTTATTTTGATTCCCCGGGACTGGCTCCACTTACTAAATCAAGTTGGACAGCGTGTCCCCTGCCTCTGCCTTGCAGGAAGGAACTGCTGTTTTGCAGAATAATATAGGTAAAATATAGAAGAGGCTTTTCCGACATTAGTGCTTTCACAATGTGAGCTCAGGGCCGTTTGACGAGCTCCCTTTGTGGCCATCGAGGAAATGAAGGGCGACCCGGGGGCAGATTTTACCGACGGACCCTAAAGGACTCTAAATGTCTCCCCTGAATCGTCGCGTGTGAGAAGATTTCCTGTAGCTCACTCACTGTCTGGAAGTAACTATATCCTCAAAGGGGGATTGACACGCAATACCGGTATAAAAAAAAAAGGCATTGCACCTGTTGCTGCAAGGGGCGGTGTCCATGGGTGGCTTTCCATGCTCTCTTTTTGAGGATTTTCATCAATCGAGGGACAGGCAGGTGGAACAGTTGCAAATAATTTATTTTAGTACCTACAGTATGTTGTTTACACAAAGTCTGGATGTGAAATGATATATTAAACTTTTTGACAAATAACTGAAAAATAATGTCTGCAAAACTTTTTTAGCGCCACCTTTCTCTGCGATTATAGCTGCAAGTCACTTTGGGTATGTGTATCAGTTTTGCAAATTTAAAGACTAGAATGTTTGCCCATTCTTCCTGCAAAACAGCTCGAACTCAGTGAGGTTGGATGGAGAGAGTTGGTTAACAGTGGTTTTCATAATCCACAGTTTCTCGATTGGATTAAGGTCTGAACATTGATTAGACTATTCTAATACCTGGATGTTTTTATTTGTGAACCATTCCATTGTAGGTTCTGCTTTATTTTTTGGACCATTGTAGCCTGGGTTCCATTCCGAACTTAGTCCCGCCCACAATGTTTGAGGTCGGGAAGTTCGGTCTGGCATTGCTCAATAGTAGCGCGAGTATGCTCGCACAATATCTGGCGATCCAATCAAATTGTTAGGGCGGGCTTTATACGATGATGGACAGATAATCAACTGTAACATAATCAACTACGTGACCAAAGCACGCTTGGGTGACAACAACAATGGCTGCCGCTGGAGAGTTGAGGTGAGTAGATTCTGCTATTAGGTCTGTTCTAGAAGATATCGACAGCAAATAAATTTTAAAAGAGGAACAGAGAAACGCGATCAAGGCTCATCTTCTTATTCTAGGCGTGAAACTGCACACTTTGATTTTTGTTGACAACAACTATGCATCGCTTAACATACGTCACGCACTCCGTTGCTCTTATTGGTTGTAGGTCTATCCAATTGAGTGCAGAGGCATTTTTTTTCCTGGTTCGTTCGAAACACGCCCCATAATCACAGCTCTATGGAGCAGTATCAGACTCATATTCTGACTAGAATTGAGTCGGACTACGTCAGGCTAGGACCATTGTGTTGTTGAAAGATAAATCTCTGTCTCACGTCTTTTGCAGACACCTACAGGTTTTCTTCCAGAATGATCCTGTATTTGGCTCCACCAATCTTCCCATCAATTTTAACCGTCTTCCCTGCTGAAAAAAGCAGGCTCAAACCATGATGCTGCCACCACCATGTTTGACAGTGGAGAGATGGTGTGTTCAGGGTCATGAGCTCTGTTGCTTTTTTTTTTTTTTGGAACTTTTTTTTTTCAAGAATTTTCACAACAAAAGAACATTCCCTGAGCTGAGAGCAATGAAGTCAATAACATAAACACTGATGCCGCATATACAATATTTCAACATAAATGCAGCACAATAAACCAGATCACCTGAAACTTTGAATACCCTAAAAGAGATAACTGCACATACACACTACCATATGTATATATACATACACACAATCCCCTCCCCTTCCCCTCCAGGGTGCTCACCCACAGGCCAAAAATTCAACTTAAGGTAAACAAAAAGCAAAAAAAAAACCCCATATATAATATATAAACACATACATGTATACATACACATGTATATATACAAATACATACCTTAGGAATACCGATAACAGAGCAGATTGCTCTGTTGTTTTTCTGTCAAACATATTGCTTTGCATTGTTGCCAATAAGTTTGAAATTATGCATTTAAAAATCCAATTTTAAAAGCATTTTCTAATTGCACTTTTAAATTGAATAATTAATGAGTAATTGTAAATTGTATTTATTAATTCATTAATAAATACTGGAATATGAACATATATTTTCAAATCCTATTTGAAGACTGGGATGAAAAAAAATAAATCTGATTAATCTATATATCTTTCCTAATCACACATTTAAAAAGGTATTTCCTTATTCCATTTACATTTTTTTTTTGCATTTTAAATAATTATTTTTTAAATTGCATTTTCTCTTCACCATCCCCTCTCCATTTACCTTTTCTGTGACCCTTCTGGTCCTGGAGGACAATGAAAAGCCGTTAAACTCTTTAGCTAAACTGAATGATCAATGAGAGAGCTGGTTTAATCTGAGGAGCAACTGGGATTGCTTAAACTGGTTTTGATCTCCGGTTACATGATGGATCTTTAGGAATTGAAATCATATTTAATGCAGAAAATAGAAAAATCTATTTTTATAACATAGCTCTAGACTCCAACATCTATGTGTGGTCTGCAGAATTTAGCTTAGGAATAGGTGTGTGTGCGAATGGGTTCTTCCTGGTCCGTTTGCACGTGTTCCCTGTACATGGATGGGTCCTCTTCTTGAGCTTTGATTTTTTTCCAGCAATGTTAGGTTAATTGGTCTTTCCAAGTTGCCCTTAGATGTTGCTGTGAAGTGTTGCCTGTCCCAAGTGTCTCTGTGTTGCCCTGTGATGGACTGGTGACCTGTCCAGACCCTGTGACCCCTGTGATCCTACCTCTCATTGACTGCTGAGGACAGGAACCAGCTCTCCCATGACCCTGTATGAGTCAGAAAGTGTAGAGAAATAAAAGATGTATGACGTAATGCAATTTTTATGTTATTTATGTTTTTCTCTTTACTTACTGTTAGATGATGATCAGATTCAGGTCTGTTCTTTCAGTGGCTAAGAAGGTAATTTGTCTTTCTCCTCTGTATTTGATCATTTCTCAAGTCTTAACAAGCTTTCAAACAAAACTTGTCTGTTGTCAAATTACTAATTAGATACTTTGATTTATGTGTTTTTTGCATTATCCTTCTTCCCAAAGTTAAGTTTTTATGTCCAAGCCTTTTCACCAATCCATCCATCAAGATTTAATATTACTTACGGTAAAGATGTGCAGAAACTTTCAGATGAATGAATCCAGTGTTTTTCAACCCTGCTCTGCATGTTTTAGATGTTTCTCTGCTTCAACACACCTCATTCAGATGATTGCAATTCGGCAAAACGTAATAATGTGCTAAAATTTTATATCAGATGTGTAAAATCTGGGAAATATGCAAGATATGCGGTGCAGTGTGCCTTAAGAGGCAAAGTTGAAAAACACAGAATTAATAAAAAAAATGTTTAGGTCAAACATTTAAAATTTGTAATTAATTGGGTGTAAATAAATCAATAAAAACATTGACTAATTAGAATCGTTTTATCTTAAGCTGATGATAGAAACTTTTAATTGGTGATCCTTCCACTGTTTTACTTTGGTGCACATATGAATTGAAACAGAAAACCATTTTTTGATGCCATTTTTTAAAGCTGCAAAGTCAAGAGGCAGGTGTGTGCAGATTTTTTGTAAGTCAGGAAAAGGGTTTAACACAATATATTTAAAGTATTAGCAGAAATATACATTTTAAAGCAATTAGAAGTGGGATGAGCTGGATAAAGACCTTTATTTATCTTCTCTGCTAAACAGAGAAGAAGATATTACCAGAATATAAGAAATTTCCAAAGCTCAGTGTTAGAGAATGCACCAAAGATTAGCCTCTTAGGGTAAGGCAGTAAGTCTACATAACTGTTATAACACAAACTAAATGCCAACAGGTTGTTTTAAGCATATGCATTTCTGCTCTCGTTAAAATCTTACTATGTCTTTAGTGCATTCGGTTAAATAAACATATTTTTCAGGTTAGTCTGGTGTAAAGCGACCAGCTCACTGCCATGTATGGTGGAAAATATGTGATGCTGTGGGCCTTTTTCTCTACTAAAATGTCTGGGAACCTTGTCTGATTGCATACCTTCATCAAGTCATTAACATGTTAAGTAGAAATCTGGTGGACTCACAGGAAACTTTGTCTTTAATTGTGATAACAGTTCAAAACATTACTCTAAATCAACTAAGAGATGGCTCCACAGACACAAAATAAACTTTGTTGAATGGTTATGTCAACCTCCTGACCTACTGAGTTAAAGAGAACATAAGAAGGAGAGGACCATAAAAGTCTGTGACCTAGAGATATTTCCCCAAGGTTCCCTCACTTTGTTTTCCACAACTAGTTCAGGATTCCTCATTTCCAGTCCTGGTGTTGTTCACCTAGATGTGTCTCTATTTCATCACATCTGAGTTATATAATTACACTGCAAAAAATAGAAATCTAAGTAAGAAATTTTTTCTTAAAGTAAATGCATTTTTTTTCTCCAATTGAGGACAAAAGTGAGACACTTCGCCAATGGAACAAGACAATTTACATTTAAAATAAGAAAAAACAATTGCATTGTCTTATTTCAAGTTCATATTATCTAATTATCTTATTTTAAGAGTAAAGATACTAATTTCATTGGCAAATCATTGTATTTACCTACTCAAATTAAGGGTAAATACACTCAATTTAAGACATTCTTACTTATTTCTAGATCGTTTTTGCAGTGCAGGTCATTAACCGAACTCTGGTTCGATGCGAATATCTCCAGTTGTAGCTCCTACCTACTGCTCGTCAATCCTATCGCTTCACCTTTCACGGGGTCAACAGAAAGAACACTATCTAGGGTAGGAAAGGAGGTCCGGAATCCAGACAGCCGTCAGCCATATGGATGTCATTTGTGATGGACAGACACATGAATGACAGCGGTCAAATTGGAACTACAGAAAATTGGGACTA